ATATATATATATATATATATATATATATATATATATATATATATATATATATATATATATATATATATATATATATATATATATATATATATATATATATATATATATATATTAAGTTAAACTAATAATTTTATTACTTTTTTTTCAGCTCAATGATTATGTATTAAAAGTGCTTGTACCTGAGGCAATAATATATCTGTTTGCTAAAACTGAACAGATTTCAAGAATCAAAGTAATTTATTTATTTTTTTTTTTTTTAAGAGGTTTTTGTGTTGTGTTATGTTGTGTTGTTTTTTTTTTAATTTTTTTCTTATTTTAGGCTGAAGTCATATTAAATTCCTACATTTCAAAAGGGTAATATATATATATATATATATATATATATATATATATATATATATATATATATATATATATATATATATATATATATATATATATATATAATTTTTTTTTTTATTATGTATTAGTTATTATGAACTTTTCTTTTTTTTTTAATAGACTTTTGCGAAGTTTTGAGAATTAACAACTTTTATAGTTTAAAAGTTTTAAATTTTATTTAAATCATATTTAGAATTAATGAAAGAGACCAAGAATCAGAAAGTAGTATAAATGATGGGTCTGGTATGTAATTTTTCATTAACAATTATTTATTTTATTTCATTCTATTTGGATTCTTTTTAAACTGAAATATTTTTCCTGAAGCAAGATTTGTTTTCTTTATCTAGTGGTTAGCGCTGAGAATTTTTTTATACATTTATTGCAAAAGAAAGAACAGCAAAGTAGGGTTTTTTTTTTTTTTCAACACAAATAAATTACAAGACTAAATTATTTTTTGGCTCTTAGAGAATAGCCGTTTAATGAAGTGGGCTCAGTATGATTCTTGTATAAAAGGTATTCTTTAAAATTTAAGATAATTTTCTCTCTCTCTCTCTCTCTCTCTATATATATATATATATATATATATATATATATATATATATATATATAAAATAATATACATATGTATTTTAAATTTTAACTTTAGAAACTAATACTACTCTAGTTAATGAAAAGGTAATGTATATTCTATATAATAAAAATATTTATCTGATATATATATATATATATATATATATATATATATATATATATATATATATATATATATATATATATATATGTGCGTGTGTGTGTTGATACAAAATTCTTGTGTTGGTGTTTGCAAAGTATTTGTTTATTATAATTTAAGAAAGAGTTACCAGAACAAAGTGAATTAAAAATAAACATGACTTTATTTAACGAAGACTTTGAATCTAACGTAAGTTAAATATATATTTAATTGATTATGAAAATGATTTTTTTTTTTAAATATATTAATATTTTATGCTTTTTCAGTTTTCCTATTTATACCTTATTATTTAGGAAGGTGTGGTCCAATGTTTGTTAAATGATTTAGTTGAAAAGGTAAGTTTTATTGTAAAGTACTGTTTAATTTGGTTGATAAAATATTTAAATAATTACAAATATTTTTAATATCTCTATTAGTTAATACATTGATGGTTAAAAATATTATTATCAAAGTTGCCTATTTTTTTTTTTTAAAAGTTCATACAATAAATTAAAAATGAATTGATCTTCAAACCTTATAAATCTATAAAATAATGTTATCAGTTAAAATTCATCATTTTCAGCACCAATAAAGATTAAATAACTGTAGCTATTTTTATATCCTTTTTAGGTAATATTTATTTTTATACTTTTTACACATCCTTTACTGTTTTTCTCTACAAACTATTGTTAAAACTTTTAGGTTTGTGCTTATGTTGATGATAGTATTGATTTTATCAAACAAGACTATCCTAAAACTGTAAGTTTTTTTAAAAAATTTTAAATATTTTAATTTATTAAGTAGCTCAGTGTTTTTCTTTCGTATTTCATTTTATATTTCTCTACTATTTTTTTTTTTTTTTCTATTATTTTTAATTAGAAAAGTTATGCAAATGAAGCTAGTTTTACCTTAACCGTTCAAGAAAATAAAGTTAATTGTACAATGGATTTGCTTTGTGCTAAAAAGGTATATATTTTTTAAAACAAAATCCTCTACAAAATCCTCTACAGTTCAGTAGTAATTAGTATAGTCTCTGGCAATAAAATCCTTTTATACATTTATTCTAAATAAATATTTAACTGTGATCATTATATTATATTCAATCATTTTTAAATTTTTTTTTAGTAACTCTGTACTCTAGTATGCTTAATACACAGAAGGGGACATTTTTTAATTCTTGGAATTTTTTTTCTACCCAACCCAAGTTTATAAAGACCTCTCCATTTATCAACGCTTACTTGGTATCAACAAAATATTTGATTGAAAGCCACTCAATTAACACAAAAAATTAACTTGTTTTATGCATGTTTTGTAAAGAAAAACTCTCACCCACTCTCTCATTAAGATTCCCTCTCCCATTTCCCTCTTCCAACACCCCTCCTCCTTTACCTTTTATTCCTAACCCCCATTGAATTAAGCATGTGAGAGTAATATCAATTATTATTTCTTTTAAAGAAAAGTTTTTAATGATTATCAAAATATATTGTTTCAGAATATATTTCACCATAAATGTGATGTTGCAGATGTAACTGAAGTTAAAAGAATTTCGTCAAAATTAGGTTATATTTTATTAAATATCTTTATTTATTTAAATTCTTCTGCTAATTTTTTTTTCAAATCTATTTTTTTTTTTTTTTTATAGGTTCTCAAATTCATACCATAGTTAATAATAATAACATTAAAAATAACTACACAAAACATCATTCAGAAGATACTCAGAAGCCTTCCTCGCAGTTAGTCAATAAAAGAACAAAACACAAAAGTGCAGAAAAACCAAAAAGAAATAAGAAATTGTGTCCTATTCCAGGGTGTGGGGCAAAGGTTGTTAACTTGCCAAGACATATAAAATTATCTAAAAAAAGTGATCATCTTTTGTTGAAAAAATCTGCTTCTAAAGTAGTATCTATTTTCGGACTTCGAAACTCCAAAAGTAACAATGCTGATATACATTATCGTAAAAAAATGAGAATTTGTCCTGTTGATGGATGCTTTTCAGTTATCTTAAACTTGTCAGATCACTTTAAAAAGTCTCATTCGGAATTATTTAATAATACAGAGCTTTATGGTAAAATGCGAAATAAAGCAACAGTTATGATTGGCTATGAAGAAGAAAAAATTGTATCTATTTTTAAGTCTAATAACAGAGAATCAGAAGATAGTTCTACCCATTTAGAAAGTGATTCTTCAGAAAGTAATTGTAGTGAATACAAAAAGTTTATCTATAAAACAGATTCTTTGTATTCCGAATCGCTATCAACAGATAGCGATTCAGAATACAATGTTGAAGGAGACAAAACAGATGAGTCTATAGATGATTTTTTATTCGATGATGGAGATGAAGGATCAGTTGATAATGTTTTAAATGCTTTTGAAAATCATTTATTGGGTTTTGAAGGTGGGAAAAAGAAAAAAAAACCAGCTCGTCAATGTAAAAATCAAGTGAAATCAATTCTTAATTGTGTTAATCCTTCACTTTCGTCCTTTGATTCTTTATTTGATATTCACACTCTGCGAAACTCTTGGCTGCCATGGGCATTAGCTCCAGGTAAAGGTAAAAGCGGTAAAGGACATTTACCAGGAACATTAAGGTCATATCTTGGTTCGCTCAGCAAATTTGTAGAGTTTTTGATCAGACAAAAAACGGTTTCTTGGGCAAAAAAAATATCTGTACCGTGCACAGTTAATTTAGATACAATGAAAGGGTTATTAAAAGATGTCAAAAATTGGAGGTCAAGTTATTGTGATGAGGTTGATCAACGTGAATGGGAAGTCTTAGAAAAAGATCTTGTTAATATGATCAATCCAGAGGAATTTCAAAAGGTATATAACTCAGAGGTATCTCTTCAAGCAAGAAAGCTGCTTAATATGCCAATAATATGCGATAGTAATGATTTTAGTAGAGATAATTTCGTTTTAGTAAGAGATTATTTAGCCAGTATTTGCTGCTTAAGAAATTCGGCTCGTGCTGGAAATTGCATTAATATGCTTCTCGGAGAATTTGAAAACGGAAAAGTTGATAACAGCACTAATAATATTATAATAAATGTCAAACATCATAAAACTAAACGAAAGTACGGATCAGCCCAAGTTGTACTAACGCCTGAAATCAATAGTCAAATGAAATGTTATGTTGATTTCTTCAGATCCAAAGTTGCAGAAATTAATGATGAAAACCCATCAGATCCAGATAAGAGCTTGTTTGTGACATGGTCGTTCAAATCTCTTAATGGATTTTCTAGACAACTTGATTCCTTTTGGAAGAAAGCTACCAAATCAAACAGGGTTTGTCCAGTTTCTGCAACTCTTATTAGAAAAAGCATTACTACCACTTTTTATTCTTCTGAGGATATAAATGATGGCCTTAAAGAAAGCCTGGCAAATCACATGAAACATAAAAAAGAAACAGCCGCTAGAAATTACAATCTCATAAAGACAATGAAAAATGCAGCTGAATTAACAAATAAAATTGAAAAAAAAATTTTGATTCCAAACGAATGTAAAAACCAAATGAATAAATGTGCTGAAAACCTTTCTTATCAAGATTTTAATAATATTGTTAACGAGCCAACAGCTAGTACGAGTACAATAAAACGAGGATGGACCCCAAATGAAATTGCAGAAATTTTGCATCTTTTTAAGGATCATGATTTTCAAGGTTGCTATATTCCGTATATTCGTGAAAAAATTAAAGACAATCCGGTTCTACAATTTAGGAATCCAAAATCCATCTATGACAAGCTGTTATCGCTAACAAAATCAATAAATGCAGATGCCTCCAGGATCGATGATGAAATTTGTGAAATTCGTGAAATGGATCATGGCGATAAACGTACCTTAATGGTTATTTTCAAGAAAGAAATTAGTCGATGTTTACCAATTATAGAAAGCTTAGTCAGACAAAAATTAGAAAGTACTGACCATGGTCAGCGGTTATTAGAAAAATATGGAATTAATAAAATTATTAACAAAATTAGATACGAAAAAAACATATTAAAAAACTCTTACTGAGGATGTATATATATGTCTTACTGAGAATAATATATTTTTTGGAATAAACTTTGTTTACTTATTTCCTTTATGTTTTGAGCTTTTTTAATGACCATTGGAAATAAAAAACGTTTTGAGCTTTTTTACTGATGACCATTGAAAATAAAAAATATTTTTTTTAGTTACAAGTATTTGACATTTTAACTTTACTTCCAGGAAAGAAAAAATATGTAGTTATCCGTATAGTTTTTAATATAAAAAAATACATGTTTATAGTTTAGTATATTTATTACAAATAATACATAAAATATAACACATAGAGTTAAGTGCCTAGTCGTCACCGCAATCGTTGTCACATTGTGTCTTTATTTTTATAGTCTCGATTGTCACACATTTGCCACTTAAAAAGCGAACAGAGTTTTTTTTTCCGATACGATTTCGGAACTTTCCAGGAATTAGTTTTTGCTCTGCGTGTTTTTTAGTGACCAAGTGGCGACAACAAGACGCATGGCAAGGATTCTTTTACCCTATGTGTTGATTAATAAAAATTTTAAATGCAAATACGATTTTTAATTAGCAAATGCGATCTTTGCTTTAAATTATAATATTTCAACCAATTGCCTGTTTTTTTGATTTGCTTGATTGCTTGTTTGTTCATTGTTTTAAATAGTTCATAAGTAATGTTTCTTAATTCAATAATGGCGATCTACTTTACCTTTGATAGGTTAATTAATATGACTTGCACTTTTGAAATTTAAAGTAAATTAAAACACAGAACTGAAAAGAGTCTAGAAAGTTTTTGCCTCTGGTTTTGACTACGATTAAGTATTGTGAGTAGATTTCTAAACAGAATTAAGGAACTGGGAGAAAAAGATGTGCTATTATATTAATATTTGTTTATCTTTTCGATTCTGAAATTAAGAATCGCTTGCATATTATTTTGCACATTAGCAGTGACAGAGCGGCGTTTCTTTATTCTAAATTGAAAAAGTGTTTATCAAGTTTCAATAAAAGTTAGTAGTCTAGCGTTAGTTATTATCAGAAATAAGGTAACCAAAATATCAGATTTAGAGAAACTATTGGACCAGTTTGAATCATTTATAACACAGAAAAATTAATGAAATTATCTTACCTTGAATTAGTTGCGTTACCATTTTTTTAAATTTTTATCGTTGTGCGCTTTTTATTCTCTTTTGTTATTCTTATTTGTTATTTTATTTTTATATCTAATTTCATGCTACACTTTTGAGTGCAGATTAGAACATGATCACTTATATTTACATTTTTTGAATTCCATAAAAATTGCTATAGGGATGACACATTTCTATAAAGCTTATACTGTGCCATTACGGCACATTACTAGAAAACTCTAGAACATTTATATTCAGTGAAAAAAAAAAAGAATACGGGTGATTAATGGATCTGTCCAGCCAGGTGGACCTAGAGATGTGATACTAAAGGCAGATTATAAATGACGTTGTTTAGAGAAAATCAAATGCAGATAGATATCCAGATAAGTAGTATGACTTTTATAAGTGGCAGAATTATACTTTAAAACTCAGAAGAGGAAAAACAAAAAAAAGTCATATTTTTCATTCTCTCCAAATAAATTCAAATCTCTCTACTTCTGCAAATGATGGTTGTTTAAATGGCTAAAAGACTATCAGGAAAAAATGTGGTCAAGGAGAATAAAAATATATGCATAAAAGACATTCAACATTTTTCGAACCCAGGATTGCTCGTATGTAGCAAATCTATCTAAAATCTGCCGAGTGAGACATTATTAAAGAACCCTACAATATTTATAATCAGTGAAATAATAATAGAAAAACATTTCATAGTTGAATATGTAAAATATTAACTTTTTATCCCCAGTAAGCTTTTTTAAAGTTAGATTAATTTATTTATTTCTCATAAAGTTCTCATAAAATTTTTGTAATAGTAGAAATGCTGCATTTTAGTAGCATTTCTAATCCCGACGGAATGATGAATATGCTCCTATTATAGAACCTCAAAGAAAAATAATCACTTTTTTCCAAACAAATTTCAAATACCGCGTGTAATGTTTCTGTAGCTATATAAAAGTCAAAATTTCTAATAATTTTTTGTATAAAATTGAAAATAAAGCACAAAAAGAAAAAAATTTATAAAATGGTTAGATTTGCTACAAAATAGTAGCAAATCTAAAAAATTTCAAAATGATAACGAGAGCTTAAACATATTTAACAAAGATGAATCACAAAAATAATTTCAAAGTTTTTTCGAATCTTTAATCTTTTCTATAAAAAAGTTAAACTGGAACATAGCAACCTAACATTCAGCCAGAAAAACGACTAAAATGTGAATTATGGCCAGTTTTAAAAAAATACTTTTTTTTAAAACCAAAGTTTTAAAAAATACGCAAAATCTACGACTACTTTATATTAACTGTGTAATTGATCCTGAATTAATTTTTTTTTCTTTATTTCTCAAAATTTAGGATATTTGTATAGATGAAAGAAGATGAATGATGTGCAAAGGTAAACTATCAAAGGATACCAACATGAATCACTTCCCTTCACTGTATTTCACTGCAATTTGATCATTTTTTATCGCACAAATAGAAATGTTACATAAAAAAAATAAAATGCGGAAATATTGTTTTAAAAGTTAAATTTAATGCTTAAATTATAGCTAAGATAAAAGTTGACATGATAATAAGTATAAAAATACTTATATAAACTATTTTTCCGCAAAAATGTCTAAATTTCCTTAACCGATAAAGTATGTAGCAAATCTATCGTGTAATACGTCTAATGATGATGATGATGATGATGATGATGATGATGATGATGATGATGATGATGGTTATGATGATTATGATGATCATGTTGATCACAATGATGTTCATATATGCATATATATACAAAATATAGCATGAATTTTAAATTTAAAAAATATACTTTAGGATGTATAAATGTTACTATTTACTTTTTAAATTTAATAATGATCATACTAATTCAATAACATTTTTTAAACATATGCTTTCAGATTGATAATGATACAAGTTTTATTTTTTGATTTAGATTCTGTATCTCAATGATATCCTGGCTTTTCGATACGATAGGGGAGAGTGGGGTAATGACGAACAGCTAAGCGGGAATGCGAATTAAAGACAATTATTACTATATATTAATGATATTTTTTGCTTATTATTTAGTCTAACCATTTGGTTAGAATCACTCAAAAGCAATTTTCATATATCTTATTAAAAAATAAAAAATTCGATTAAAAACAAAACCTTCGGTGTTCGGAATTACCCTACGTACGTGGGGTAATTCCGAACATACCGTGTATATATATATACTTATATATATATATATATATACTATATATATATATATATATATATATATATATATATATATATATATATATATATATATATATATATATATATATATATATACATATATATATACATATATATATATATATATATATATATATATTATATGTATACATATATATATATTTATATATATACATATATATATATTTATACATATATATATATATATATATATATATATATATATATATATATATATATATATATATATATATATATATATATATATATATAAATATATATATATATATATTTATATATATATATATATATATAAATATATATATATATATTTTGCTACAGGTTCTCGTTTGATGACTTTTAGTCATAACGTAAGACCTCGTTGTTAATAAAAATATTGACGTTAAATAGCTTAAATACATAATAAATTATAGTTGGTATTTATTTAGTTGCACAATAAAGCGATAAGCTGGAAAAGTGGGTATAAGTGGATTTTTTTGAATACACAATTCGCATCAATTTTGTTGTACAACTTATTAGAAAAAATATCAAATGATAAGAAAAAAGTAAATCCTGTAAATTCACTCACACATAAATCTTAAAAAAGATGTTTATATTTTTATCTATAAATTGTAAATTTTATATAAATATATTGTATATTTTTTATGTTTTTCATTGTATATTACTATTTGTATTAAAAATCGACTTTGGAAATATTGCAAGTGCAGAGTTCAACATACAATTTTGTTTTATTTGCAAATTCAATATACATTATAGCCAAGTTTAATCACGTTTAATAATATTTTGCGATATTTTCTCCTGCGCATTTGAGCGTTGATTTAACGTTATATTTCAACCTTTACTCGACGTCTTTGAGTCACGTTAAATCGACGTTTTACTACCAACGTTACAAATCCTTGCAAAATCAACTGCTTTAACAACGTTAAAGTAATGCTTTTCAAGTAACGTTTTTTCAACGGTAAGTTGCGACGCCTATGCAACGCTTTTTAAGTAACGCTTTTTCAACGTTTAGTTGCGACATTTTTGTAACGTCTTTTAGTAACAATTTTTCAACGTTACGCTACAACGTTTAATCAACGTCTCTTTAACAACGTTACATATCTTTGCAAAATCGATTACTTTGTCAACGTTTCCGCAACATCTTTTGCGACCGGTTTTCAACGTTGATTCAACGTTGACTTGTTTGCTGGGAACAACTTCACGTCGAGAAATCCTTTCATACGAGCAGGTTACGACTTCTAGCTGGTTACCACTTCTAAAAAACGAGAGAACATAAAAAACAGTCTATTGCTTAAAGGTTATACAAAAAAAGCAAACGAAACTTGATTAGCTGAGTGGAGCACATTATACTTACCGACTATTAATTCAAAAAGGGCTAATCCTTTTAATCCACTCATGTTTCCAGCGCGGTCCCTTATTTTTGAACCCACTAGGTTAGTTTGGGACAGGAGTTAAACGGTAAACAGTCTAAAAATATATAAAAATGAGTGTGCTAAATAAATTTACAACCATCAAAATAACTGTTCAACGATGTATTTTATTATGTAGTACTTAAATCAAGCTAAACATTTGCACTTCTCAGATTTGCTATGAAAGCCAAATTATTGAAAAAAGATATTGATATTTTTCTGTCTTCTATACCATGATTTTTTAATTGAATTTCGCTGAAATTAAGTGTTGTAAGCTCATTACAATTT